GGCTCGACCGTGGTAGGACCACGCTCTCACAGTATACCAGCTTAAAATAGCAGCTTAATACTGCTGTGTTTCGTGTGGTGGCATGAAACGAGGCATTCCATCTTAGTCTTCAGGGGTGACAACACATCTGCGTTTTGATTCTTAATCGAGGATAAATGTAGATGTATATGGGCCACAGCATCCACTTACCATCAATTGGAATGTTTGCTCGTTTGTCACCCTTTTTAAAAAAAAACAAGTATTTATAAGGCCCACAAATATTTTTTTTCAAATCTGGATGTTTGTTATTGTGTTTTTTATGTTTTGCCTTGTGTTTTCTTTTGTCCTGGAAAGAACCATTAAAAAACTCAACGGGACTCTTTCATAAATGCCGTTCCGCTCGTAAATGGCCCTTGGAAATGCAATACTGAAACTTCACTACTATAACAACTTTTACTTTCATTACTTTGATTTATTACTGGAAACTGTAGCTGGTTCCGAACGTCGCGAACGTACTGCAACGTATTGTCTTCTGCCTGGGCTAATACTTAGCAGGTTTCGGGCTGGGCCGGTCCTGGGCGCTTTTATTTAAGGCGTTGTTGAATAGATAGCGTCGGTTAACCGCAATTGGTTAATTTATAAAAATAGCGAGGTTATCTGGTTATATCTGGGTTGGACTTTCTGTCGCACTGTGGGTTTTACTCGACTCTCTAATCTATATAAAGAGGAGTTCCTTGGATATGATCGCCTGTTCGGGGCCCGTGTATGTAGGTGGCCCGTTATCGGCGCGGTTGAACAAATCACGCGCCAGCCAGACCACAAATTCCTGTATAGTTTCTATTTATAAGGTTGGCTGCTGTAACGTCGTGCCGGACGTAGCGACTTGCATCGATAATGGTCAGTAATGACAAGTTCTGCTGAACCTGCAGTAGCCGCATCTATCAATCGCTCAGAAGCGCATACAAGGCTGTAGTAGCATATGTCAGTAAGGGTCTTTTATACATTTTGTAAAAATTGGTCTTTGTTTTGTTGGCAACTTGGATGCCAGGACTGGACGGTCCATCGCCCGCACACATTCGGTTTTGCGAATGACGAAGATGACGTGCGCGATCATGTGCAGTATCCTGTCGATCCGGCACCCAAGATAGATCAGGCCTTTTCGTACGCGATCTCTTAGCCTCTAAGGTGATGAAAATCTTCTGAAGAGGCGAGTGAGCAGAGCGGTTATCTTACCGACGTTGACGGCCATTCTCCACTCATCCAGCCATGGTGGTAACAGGTCCAGAAGACGTTGTATCCTGGCAATGGCGATGTGGGCTCTTCTGGACAAAGTGAAATTGGTGCTATTGTCTGCATATAGCGCCAGCTCTACGTCATCCTCACATTCGTGCAGATGTCCTGCCAGTGTAGGGATATCACTGGTGTAAACTGCCTCGTTGTTCTAGTGGTTGTAGTAGTGCAACTGCTGATTAAGAGGTCCTGGGTTCGAATCCCGGGTCGGGCCAAAAAATCACTGATTGAGTTTTTCTGTCAAGAAATTCTCAGTTTTTTACTTATTTATATATTTAACATAAAAAAGAACTAGCTTAATACAATTATACTACCACTGATATGACAAACCAATAGTAATAATATAACATTAATCAGTAATTTAAAGGGTAACGGCATTTTCGTTGTATGCATAAATTTTTCATGTACTCATATACATACATACATGTATACAAATTTATGCATTATTTATTTTATTATGTGCGAACAGCTATGGGGGGGGGGGGCAGGGAAAGAGACCAGTATCACTGCGACCTAGAAGATCTATTGTGATCGCTGCTATGGCTATAGTTTACGGCTAAGCCATATGTCTTCAATGAAGTTGCTTAGCCGTGAGCAATTTCACTTCCTCTGGGCGGAGTAGATAGTTTCCCAGATGAGTGCTACGTTTGCGCATTAAGGGTCCGCAATCAGTTAGGATGTTTAGGTATTAAATTACACTCCTGGAAGAGCTGCTCATAATTTTCCCTATATTTTATTTTAGCTTTTGGGTTCACTAATATTTTCATAAATAAAATGTTTTAATTTATCTGAATATATTTTAAATGTCCGTATGCTACTAATCCATATTGTAACGTTGGCTCAAATATTGCTGCTAGTAGCTCGGCTAGTAGCTGACCTGAGTCAGGAAGCTGGCGGTGTCTCACCCCCATGCCTCGGAAAGCACGTAAAGCCGTTGGTCCGGCGCCTGATATCTCTCCCGGTCGTGTTGGTTTACCGTCCCATCGGATTACGAGAGAGAGGGAATAGAGGGTGCACCTGTGCTTGCGCATACACTTGGGCACTATAATCCTGTCCTGCGCCGATGGCTAGCCTCCGTTGAGGCAGGCCGCCGTGGCCGAAATTCGGTCTGGAGGACATTATTATTATTATTATGGGGTATCTATATAGTTTTCTCATCTGGTTGGGTTCTATAAATATATAATTATAAATGAAAATGAAAAAATAAATATACATAAATATCAATAACATAAAATAAATATAAAAGTACATAAATAAGTAAAAGCCCAACCAGATGGAGGCCCTCGGCAGGGGAGACCAAACGGCCGAGGGTTAGGGGGAAAGGGAAAGAAACCGGCGGACGATGCGGGCGGTATCGAGGAGCACCGCCTTCTGCATTTGAACCTGGAGCGGTCCGCCACGTAGTCCCAGCCGCCTCAGATGACCCGAGAGGCTGACTGGGATTAGCCCGTTTGCAGAGACGACTACAGGAACAATTTCGGTCGGCAGACCACCCCACATGTCGGTCACCTCGTGAGCCAGGTCCAGATATTTTGTTTGCTTGTCTGTTTCGGCTTTCACGAGGTTCTCGTCATACGGAATGGTAATGTCGACCAAAAATATCCTTGACTGTGCCCGGTCCATCAGCACAATATCAGGCTTATTCGCAAGAATAGTCCTGTCTGTGATGATGGCCCGGTCCCAATAGAGCCTGGAGTGATCATTTTCGAGCACGGCTTCCGGCAAGTACTCGTAGTACGGCAATTTCCGGTCCACGAGACCGTATTTCAGAGCGAGCTCCTGGTGTAGAATTCTGGCTACTAGGTTGTGCCTGTGCAAGTACTCAGAGTTAGAAAGCGCCGAACAACCGGAGATAACATGCCTAAGTGACTCACCGGGATGGCGACAAGCTCGACAGATGTCGACGGTGCCATCCTTTAGGATGTATCTCCGATAGTTGTTGGTCTTAATAACCTGATCCTGTATTGCACAGACAAAACCCTCGGTTTCCCCCGAAGAGATCACCAAAGCGTAGCCAGTGGAGGGAGGCTACTGTGTCTACGAAAGGCTCATGTAGAGCCTTGTAGAACCTCCCGTGGAGCTCCTTCTCCTTCCATACGGTCTCCTGGTCGGAAATGCTCTGCACTGCCGGGTCTTGCCATTGCTCGTTGGCTAAGGATAGAGGGGTAAGTCCTTTATCACAAGAAATGACGTCCATATAGAATGGATCATCCGATCTCGCCAGGAAGTAATCACGGAGGCTGCACACTTCGCGATTATGCATGGTGAGCGCGCTCAAGAAGCCACGACCACCATGCTTCCGCGACAAGTACAGCCTCATTACCGCCGATCTCGGATGATGCATCCTATGGGACGTCATGGTAGTGCGGACTTTTCTATCCAGGGCGTTAAGTTCAGTCTGAGTCCACCTGAGTATGCCAAAGGTATACATGAGGACAGGCATGACCCAGCCGTTATATGCGTGTGCCTTATTCACACTGGACAAAAGGCTGTTAAGCACTTTGGTCAAGCGTGCATAAAACACGTCGCAAACTGACTGTTTCATACCAGTCTCATCGATACCGATGTTTTGTGACATACCCAGGTATCGGTATGTTTCAGCCTCGGAAAGGGTCCTTAAGTTGATGGGCATAGATAAGTCTACGCCCTCAGCGTGAGCCACCCTTCCCCTTTCAACATGGAGGACCGAATTATGTCCAAGCTCATTCTGGTTGCAAATTCACAAGTGATGTTTAGCAATTCCATAAGATGGGAGCGACTGGAGGCGAATAACTTGAGGTTCATCCATATAGAAAAGGTGGGTCACTTTTGTCCCTCCTTTCCGTAGCTGAAATCCCCTCCCGGAGCCCTCCAGTAAGGTACTGAGAGGGTTCAGAGAGAGGTAGAACCAGATTGGACTCAGACAATCGCCCTGGAAGATACCCCTTCTTATCCTTATGTGGTTCTCCGCTGCCATCATCCGCTCGCCAAGATAACAGAGGATCGTACTCCACTGCCCCATACACTGCTCGAGGAAGTCTCTAACTGTACAGCCTATCTTGTACAGCTCGAGGACTCTCTTTAGCCATGTATGGGGCACCGAGTCGAATGCCTTTCTGTAGTCTATCAAGGCGGCGGAGAAGTTCCGACGGTTGCGTTTCACCACTTTGCCAATAACCGCGTCAATGAGGAGTGGTTCCTTGGTTCCACGACCACCGCCCCGACATTCATTTTGAGCGCGCGACATCACCTGATTTGAGTCCAGGTGACAAGTGATTCTCGCGCTCAAAATGGATGTTAGTGTCTTGTATATGGTCGGTAGACACGTGATGGGGCGGTATTTGCTCGGGTCTGTGCTGCCCTGGTCTTTAGGAACCAAATGAGTGATCCCAGTAGTGAAGAGGCTTGGGAGCGACTTCTGGTTGAGAGCCTTTTGAAACTGTCGGGCGAGCACAGAGTGACACACCATGAACCCCTTCAGCCAGTAGTGATGCAGCCCGTCAAGCCCCGGACTTTTCCAGTTCGGGGCCCTACGGACCGCCTCAGCTACGTCATCCGGCGTTATGATGACGGGGTCCATGGGCGTAATACCCGCACACTGACTCGCCACAACTTCCGTCCAAGGGCCCTCGCTGTGGTTTACGGGCTCTGACCATAGGCCGCGCCAGAATGCTACAGTGTCGGCCTGATTCGGTGCTGGACCCGTTCCACTTACCATTGGTCGCTCCAATGATTCATAGAGCCTCTTCTGATCACTCTAGAAGAGACGATTCTGGTTGAACCGTGTCGACCTCTCGGTATATCGCCGAATCCGCTTTCCCCCAAGCAGCGATTCTCTGCTTCAGATCATCTATGCGCTCCGTCAGTTTTTGCGTTATATCCGGCTGGGACAAACTGACATTTGTCCCAGCAAACGCCATCCTGACGGTGCGCACAATTCTTGGCCTGTTGTTGCCTGATCTGAAGCATATCAGTCTGCCGATGAGAGCTCTAGCCTTTGCGATACGTTCCTCAATTCTTCTTCTCCATGCTGGGATAGCGCTACTATGGCCAGTAGCGCGTCCAGCCGTGGAAACCTTGGCGCTTATGATACGGCAGACTGCCAGCGTGGCGCCAAAAAGAATTGAGTCCGTCTCGCAAAGGTCCCGGCTGGCTTCCAAATAGGTCACCAGCATTGGCTTCAGAGCCCTCACGACAGCCCGATTCCGCTTGCTTAGGGCTAGGGGAGGGTCGATTTTGAGAGGCGTAGCGCGTTTACAACGCCTTTAAGCTTATTGTGGCGGTTTGCCTCGTATTTTGGGCTAGATTTTATTATTATTATTGGTGTAAGCCACCTACAGGACTGGAGACAGACCACTCACCTGTGGTACGACGGCTCTAATAGGTCTTATTGCGGACTCCGCATCCTCTACACAGACGTATAATTTCCTATATGCGAGGGATGACGCCACTGACCGCAACATAACAGGAGGGATACTTGTTTGATCTTCCAATTTGTAGAGTAATCCAGAAAGCCACACCATGTCGAACGACTTCTTTATGTCGAGAAAGATGCCCAACGATTTGCGCCGCGATTGTGCTCGACCGCAATGAGGTGCAGCGCTATGGTCAGCTAAGTAGCTGTAGAGTGATCCCTCTTGAATCCGTGCTGCTCCGTTCGAAGTTGAATGAATGAGCGGAGGCGTCTCAGCAGAAATTTTTCTAGCAGTTTAGCTATGTGCAATAGCAACGTAATAAGCCTGTAGCTGGCAGCTCTACGCCTGTCCTTCCTGGGTTTTGGCAAGACGATGACTTTGCTTTTCTTCCAGTCCTCCGGGAAGTGGTATGTCCGCAATAAGCCATTGCAGTCAACCAATCTCTACAAGGACTCTATTGGGCAGCTGTCGGAGTGCAACGTTGGTAAACTCGTCTTGCCCCGGCGCCTTCCTCAATGGCAGGCGGGTCTTCTGCAAGCGGTGACGCAGACGATGACAGGAACTCCTGTACGCGGCTCTTCTTCTGGGCATGAAGCTCCACGAACTCCGCACTTGGTGGATTCGGCATAAACTGCTCTTCGAAGTGCTTTACTAGGATATCCGCTCTACCCTTGGTATCATAATATCCTTCGCCCACATTATTGGTCAGCGGACAAATGGGAGTGCGAGTTTTAGTTAACTGCCGGTTCAATTTGTAGAGCAACGCATCATGCTCTTCCGCTTTCTAGATGCGTGGCTCCCAGACCTCTCCTCTGTGGGCCTGGTTTGCAACCAACATTTTATTTGTTGTTGTTGTTGTCCCAACGGACGTCCCTACGTCCCATACGCAAAGGTCATGGGGCCAAGAAAAATGAGCACTCTGAAGAGTGCTTCAGAGTGCTCGCTCGACCAAATCCGCCGCTGTGGTCAGGAAGGCCAGTGGACCTTCCTGATCACAGCGGCGGATTTGGTCTATGGCTCCGCAACAAAACAAATTTTGGCTGCGGAGGATAGGGAGGGCGGCACCTCACAATACCGACACTCTTCTCTCCCCGCAGCCCCACCACAACCACATCAACGGTGCAGACCCGTTTGAGTCGCGGAGGGTACGGCGAGTGGCGCATTGCCATACCAACACTCCTCTTCCTCCGCGACTCCACCTCGGCTGCAACGGTACATATGTAGTACGGTCACATATTTCATTCCTACAATGATCAGCTAAAACATTTTAAAATGGTTCCGTTGCAAATGCGTGGGAAAATGTTTGATATAACGATTTTGATTTCTTATATTTACGCGAATACTACACATTGAAATAATACTAGTTTTTACGGAATTTATCGCGTATATTTAACTTTTTAAATACCCGACGTTTCGAGATCTTTACAGCACCCATGGTCACGGGAAGGACTGAGATGTTCAACGTCCAGATGTCATAGTTAATCGCGGTTACCATAGATTAAAATTTAACTTTTGTTCCGATCTACACAGTATGAACTTATGGTATCATGAAGTCTTGCAGTTGTGTGCTTGGGTTGGGATTTAATTTTATTTATTATAGGATCCCAAGCAGATGGTAGCACCCAGCCATCTTCTCTATTGAAATTAGGATGTTTTTTTGATTTCAATAGCCTCGCGAATCATCCTTGGAAGGAATCGGTGTTCTTTAGCGAGGATTTGTGGTCTATCAAATCTGATGTAGTGACAGGGGCGATCCTGTACGTGTTCACAGACTGCAGACTTCCCGGAGCGTCGATTCTTCACATCAGCTATATACAGATAGATATTAAAACGGTGATTCTCACCACCATCCTTCACAGTTAGCTACCGTGGGTAAATCTTTGTTTCAGAGAGCACGAGGGATCTGTGACAGTAAACACCTGGCTGCCGAGCTCCAACACGTCAAGCATGTTTTGCATGACAACAAGCTTCGGGTCTCGCCACTTTGTAGAACGATTCTCGGACAACATTCTCCATACCACTTGTGTTCATCCAGTAACATTTGACGTGGATGTTCCGATGGGTTCTGTGGCCTCTATAAAAGACAAATTGTATCGGTATCTTTATTTAATTTAGCCTTGACTTAGTTTAATTTAATTTGTTAGTCACTTTAGCATTAATATATTATAACTTTAAGTGCCAAGCATTATTGTTAATTATTACAAATAATTTTTGTGCAAGCTGTTACTACATATTTACATTAGAATACAATTTTTGATTTTTTTATATATAATACCTGTCGGCATGTTGTGATTATGTTCAGTTTTGTAGACCAAATAAATAGAAAAAAGATGTGTGAAAAATATGAGCCTCTGAGAGATGACTCCAATTATATATTTGTGACTACCGATCCGTGAGGTCCACGCGACTGGGCATCGCCGCTGGTGATAACGAAATCTTTTTTTATAGATGAAGGACAAACGAGTACGCGGCTCATAGTAAGTCTAAAATGCACGCCAATATGAACAACTGCAACATCAGAGGAATAACGGGTGCTTTGCCGGCCTTTTAAAAAAGAGTAGGCTCTTTTCTTGAAGTTTCCTAAATCACGTTGGTCCGGAAAAGTTATTTTTCGTTGCACAGTGGCGGACCGTCAATCATACAGATGGCATTGATGGTCTCGGCAGTTCTGTAGCAATGTGAGATGTATTGAGCGGCTGAAATTAGTCGGAACAATTCCACAGACCACTCTTGTAGATGTTATAAAATACGAAAATATATGCAACATCTTATCGCAGTTAAGCCGATCAGAAAAAACTCGGTCGCCTATGATACCGCTGAGAGTATTATTGTATGATAATTTATGTTTTTAGTTTTTTTTTTTTATTTGTCATGGTAATAACTATTGTATTACCGGCATGTGCACTACAAAAAAAGAAATACATTTTATTTATTTGTGGAAAAAAAGGAACTTTTGTTTATTTATTAACTTTTTATATAGTGCCTAATGCATTGTTTTAGTGATTTAAAACCACATCTTCGCATTTTTGCTTTTCTAAAGAAACCAGTTTGGGGCACATCAGTGGGATGGTTTAAAAGTATATAACGGACGGACAGGTAAAAACATTTTTGGTGTTTTTTATATTATATTATACATTTGAATTTTATGCAAATTAAATTATATTATTATAATTAACATTCATTAAGCAAGATTAAGCTAATAGTTGGCCGGGGAACGCAAACACGATTTACGTGGTGGAGTCATGCTGCAGTTATATTGGTAGTATAGTTGTAGCACGAATAGGTCGGTCCGACCAGGGAGGTACCACGCCCTCACAGAATACCAGCGACAAATAGTAGCTTAATGCAGCTAATGTGTTTTGTATGGTAAGTGTAGAGAACCAGAGACCCTTTATACGGGAAACGAGGCATTCCATCTAAGTCCTCATGGCTGACAACGCATCTGCATTTGAATTCGTCATCGAAGATAGATGTATATGTCTATGGGCTACAGCAACCACTTACCATCAGGTGGTCCTTGTGTTCGTTTTTCACCCTATCCTATAAAAAAAACTCGTGGTTCTGAATCCGCCATATCTACTGTCGTGAAGTGATAAACGAAATTATGAGTCACAAATATTAGTTACAGTCCTATAGCATTGTCAGTATTTTTACAACAAAAATAATAAAAAGAAACAATTTCACTTTTGTGACTTTGGGAATGCAGATTTTCTATAAAAGTTTAGTGTAAGCACATTCACGTGTAACCATCTAAAGAGATGTAATGTATTTATATCTACAGCCTTCGGCAAAAATTAATTAAACAAATTCTTAGACTTTTCCCCTTGAGTCTATCTTCGTTTTAATTAAATTTCCGAGCTATTGGTCGCACCGATTATCGGTTTGTTTTGAAATACCACACAACAACTTCCAACGGAATGTCTTAAAGTTAATTAAAAAAAGTTTTCGATACGATCAAGTATTGATTCTCAACAAAGAGGGGAAATGGAGTACGAGAAATACTTTAGAAAACTTTTAAGAGAACAACGTGGAGACAACAAAAGTATTGATTGATGCTACCTGTTTTATTATATTTTAATCATTTTCTTGTTGTATATTTAGAAGTATAAACACGTGCAATCTATTAAGGTGAGAGCCTGGTGATCTGTATCACAGGGATTACCCTAGTTGAGACACCTGTCTCTCACAAAGATCGCAGACAATCTGCGACCGTATTGTTTAAGTTTAAATGTATAGTTTTATACCGTTGTGAAGAGGAAATAAAAATTATTTAAATTTTTCTAAAACCATATTCTAAGTTTTCAATCGTAACTATTCTGCTATATCGTAGGAGCGTTTGACATCATATATAAATTTCACATGGACAAACATTAAAACTTTACCAGATACGGATATTATTTGTAGTCCATACAAAAATTTGTATCGTGCGGTATACGAACCCGCGGCTCCACAGTGCGGCAATAATAACGCTTAGTCACTGCACTTCTGCGAAAAATTGTTGTATAATTAAACCAATCATTGTTATACTTTCGATCGGCTATGGTAACGCCACACATTTTACGAAGAGATCGCATCTCCATTGCATTCAACTTCATTCTTCAGCGAAACGAAGATATTCGCAATATGGCAGGATTGAAAAATTACCTTATCACAAAAATTGAAAGGGGCTTACTACAATGGTTTGGACACGTTGAGCGAATGAGTGAAGACCGAATAGTGAAGAAAATATATAGAGCGAAAGTAAATATTAAAAGGTGTCG